CATCTAGGATACCACTTTACATTTAGTCATTGTGTCTCCTTACGTTTCTCTGATACAATCCTTGTTTTTTGGTAATTTTGACAGTTTTGTGGTGTGCTGGTCAAACGCTGTTGATGTTGACCTGATCACGCTACTCAAATAATAACTGTCAGATTTCTCAACTATGAATTTACTTTGTTTTCTCCATTTTCATGTTCCCACTGTTGAGAAGGAAGATATTTTGCAGAGCCACATTTAAGGAATGGGAATTTATTATTGCCTTCCATGAGGGCACAGATTCTGTATAAATTACTTGAAATTCTTGTACATGGGAGATTTGTCTCTTCTCCCTTTTTGTTTTTATGTCTGGTGGTTTGGTTTTTGTGAAATAGGTCTATTGCCACAGAGAGACTGATGATGTATATAACTTAATATAAATAAGATTGTTGTGAGAACTGTGAACCTAATGGCCCCTTTCTAATTTGTGAGCTACAAATGGTTGAAAAATGTATTAAGTATAGATTCAGGAATACTTAAATTTTGTACTTTATGTTACAATTCAGTACTATTACATTGTGTTGCTCAAGTCATTCTGGCTTTGTCCATTAGTGTTTTCATTTAGCTCCATTTGGCATACCCCATCAACTATAAACAGATTGAAAACTAAAGTTGTACATTATGTAGGGCTTATTCTTGTTTTGTTTGTTTCCTTCATAGAATGAGGAATCTTCAAGGGCTAGTTCCTTTTATTGGAGAGTGCTGTTAGAATCTTATCATCTAGGCAAGGTGTGTTCTCCTCTTTTTGCCTGTTTATTCTTGCTTCTTTTTTCCTCCGTTCTTCCTTTTCTTTATATTAATCAGTTGTCTTTTACTTTGGTTTGCTGACTGGCATTCTATTGTGTCTGGGCTTTTTCTTCAGTTAACAAAATCTCTTCAAATGCTGCTTCATGTGGAGTGTAAGAACCTTCCAAGCCTGGATGCTTTTGTCATCATGCATTTCACAGCTACATATATTATAAAAAGACAATGTTTTATTTTAAGTCAGTTGTCTTTTAAAGAGATTTAAATTATACTAAGGAGAAACTTACTAATGGTGGAAGTGGCCTGTGATTTTGCCTCAAGTAGAAAGAGGAAAGCTGAAATGGCAGCTGCAGCTGAAGCAGGAAAAATGAAGCACATAAATTAAATCTTGGAGCAAATTGAGGAAGAAGGTAAAAGACAAGTTACCTGCAAATGAGGAAGCCAAAACACTTCTTTGAAATGGAAATCACAAGAAAAAAAAGAGTGGACAGCAAGAAGAGAGCACTGTGAGAAAGTGAAGTTGCTGGGCATCTTGCAGAGGATACAGAAAGATGGGGAGAGGAGAACAGAGAAAAAAATACTGATGGGGACTTTGAGATTTTGTGACAGCCTAGTTAGCCACTATCATTGGTTGAACAACCAGTTCAGACCTGACCTGGAAATCTACAAGAGACTAAGAAAAAATATATGGAGGTAAATTTTTTCCACCATCTAGCAAAGCAATATTCTTCATGGGATCCTTGTGCTTTCCAAGGAAGAAGAATGGGCATACATCTGAAAAAAACAAATTGGAAAACAATCACATATAGCTGAAGATGTCCTTAAAATTATTATGTAGGCATTGACTACCTTAATGAAAGGAATGCCACAAGGATCCTTTGTCCATGAAAGGTTCTATGGGAAATCCTTGGTCAAAATTCAGCAGAATTTTGAAAGAGAAACAGCTGTTTAATCCCTTTAGTATCTGTTTTTTAGAAGCTTGTGAGTAAAGTAAAAATTCCTGCAAAAGCAAATTAAAGTTTTCTTTAAAATGTCATCAGTAAACCAGGACTTAGTCTATGCACTCTGCCTATTATTTCAAGTAAATGCATCTTCTTAAATTCTTAAAATAAATTTTGAAAAGAGAAAATCTTACGTTTATCTACATACCATTTTGGTAAAGGTTTATTACTGTGAAGCTTTTTTCCCCCTCGTTTTGGTGTGTTTGGGCATTTTTTTACAGGACCACTTGTTAAACTTACATTGTGCTACTTGAAGTCCTATGACTTTCTGATCCTTTGTCCATATTTTTTATCTTCATTCTCTGTTGTAGTTTTTCATCTTAAAGGGAATAAAACAATAGTAAAATGAATTGAAACAGTGATAAGATAGTAGGAAATCCACAATAGTTAATATATTACATATTGTTGTCCTCTAAATAGTTGCTCAGTCTACTGCTTTAGGCTTACAAAGTCAGTCAAACTGTACAGTTCCTCCAAATTAGCTGGTTGCTGGGAGAAAGAGTGCGGGGCTCTTTTTCTCTCCCAAGCTCACAAATTCTGGCTCACAAGTGGAGGCTTAGCTTCCTCCTGGTTCTCCCTGGTCTGTGCTCCATCTTTGTTGTATTTCACAAGGTTTTCATTGATATGTCTTTTAGTTCATGAGTTTTTTACATCTCTTAATTTCATCAGTTTTATTGTCAGACATTCTAAAGTTTATCTCTAGAAGTTCTTTCACATCTGAAACTTCCTTTGAGGCAGTAGTTTCGGCCGTAGTAGTCAAAGGATTACCATACATACTCACATTGTTGAGGGATCCATAACATTCATAGCCCAATGTTCCATATGTAGAAAATGAGTTTTATTTTTTATTTTTTCTTGTTAGTATCTAAAAAGGAAAAAGGAACCCTAGTCATTATCAGTCCCTCTTCCTGGAGGCAGATGATCTTCCTGACACCACCGAATCTAACAACCAGTTTCTTGAGGAAGCCCTCCTTACTTTGGACACCATTTTTGCTCCTATCTGTTTTTTACTGTTTAGCAGAAATTGTTGCACCAGTGGATCATTTTCTTGTCATTCTAGCACAGTACCTTCCGATCTTAAGTGAAACTACCATTGACAACCCATCATTCCCTAGTAGAATGCTTCAAAGTAATTTCTGTGTTGGCTTTTCCCTTTGTCCTTACCTTCTGGTTGGTCCCTCTTGAATGTAGTCTAGGCAGACAGTTCTTACAGTCCCCAAATTAAATGTTTTTAGCTTCCAAGTGAGTCTAGTGGGAACAGATCTGGTAGTTCTCATTTCTTCCCTGGCTCTCCTTGTATCATTTTATAGTTGGTGATTCCTTCACCTGGAAAATACTTTTCTTGTGGCCCTCAATTTCATGTTCTCCCAATAATCTTTGAGGATTATGGGCTACATCTCTGTCCAAGGGCCTGCCCCTTCCTTCCAGATGAAGGTGTAAGTGCCCGAGGGCTAGGTCCTGGGCCACATTTTTTTTCTTCCACTTTCAGTTTCACTACCACCATATGCTTCCTAACTGGTCCACTGTTTATATTTTGTGTGTTCACAAGTCTGTGCCATGGAACTAGAGAGGTCTTCCAAAGTGTCAGCCCTGACTGAGTTGGTTTTCTGTTGCATTTAGATTAAAATTGTAATGTCCTCTTTGATCTGCTTGTCATACATCTCATACTGTGACCACATTTCTTTGTATGTTCCCTCTTCAGTCATGGTAGCACCTGTACTGTCTCTTGACTATATCCTTAGGGTCCTTGTACCTGTTACAGCCCTATTTAAAAATCACTTTCTCATACACCCAGGTTTTCTCCATCAGATCAAATTGTACTTCCTGCCCAACACAGCATCATGCTTTCTCTGGTTCCTTGTCCTCATCTGTTTTTCTCTGCAACAGTATATGTCACCCTGTCTGTGTAGTCTTGTTATTTTACCTGTTGTCTGTCTTTTCCACTTGAATGCTGGCCCCTTAAGGGCAGAGGCCTTGCATTTTTAGGCTTAATTCATATTGTATATAGTGTCCCCAGCACACAGGAGATACTTAGAAAATATTTGTTATATATGGGGGGTAGAATGTGAGTTTAAATGGAATGAACAGGAAAAGCCTTTTTAGTTTTCAGTCTCAAGTCTATGGTTTCATTTATTTTGTTTTTGATTGTTGTAGTAGTTTTGTTTTATTTATGCTAGTGAGGGCAGATTTTATTAAAGCTCCTCATATAATACTGACTTGAACTTTTTGTCACTGTTCCAAATTCCCCTACTTTACTTGCCTTTTCATGGTCTTTGACTTTTAAAGTACAAGTATCTTTTGTTAGCCAAGCATATGTGTGATCATGCCAGGCTAATTTATGTAATACAGTATGAAAAAAACCATAGTTCTTAGTACTCCAGTGCTTTCTATGTTAATAGAAATAAAATAACAGATTTTCTGAGGGTGACAGGGGAGTCTTAACCTGAACTTGATTTCACGGCACGAGAGGTTCACAGTCCATGACCTGTGCTTTTCATGACCGGCTGCTGGTAAATCATGTGCCAGACCACCTGATACCTTCTCACAGGCAATTTCTTTTAGGATTTACAACAAGTTTTGGGTGTCCTTTGAAGATCTGATTTATATAGTATTCTGTAAGGGCTTGGTAACACAAAGTGACAGTTTCTCACTTGTCACTTTGGTTAGAAACTTAAAAGCAAAACCTAAGGCACTATTGTAAAAATTAACTAGCCCTTAATGGCCTATGGGTTTACAGTCATTGGCCTTAGTGTATTTTCTGTATCTTTTCCTTGTTTTGATTTTCACCTTTGTATATTTTTATTGTTTAGTATCGATGTTCTTGTGGTTACCTCAAAATCCTTTTTGAAGTGAGGCAGGGTATTAACTAAATTTTAACTGTTATTTTGTGATTAAGAAATCACAAAGGCTTCCTAAGCCTTGTTAATAAAACTTTTTTTAACATGATTTTTGTTTTGAGGCTAGGTTAAGTAGCATTTTCCTCATTTTCTGTGAATATATGCAAGTATGTTAATACATATATTAAAAAATTAGTATTGGCTGGGGATGTAGCTTAGCGGCACAGCGCCTGCATAACTATACTGAGTTACTTGCTTGGTAAATTTTTAGCCATTTGGGGCCTGGGATTGTTGGGCTCAACACCATAAGTGCTTGCCTCGCAAGCACCAAAAAAAAAAAAATTTAAAGCCATTTTTCCTTAGTTTATTATTACTTTTATAGGAGGAAATGAATCTCATTCAGAAAGCCAGGAAGACCCCCGGGAACTACTTAAGAAGACATTGGAATTCTGCTTATCTAGGTAAGGCCAGTAGGATATTTTTCTAGTACCTGATAGCCGTAGTATTATGCATTATATTGGTTTCTCTCTATCAATGTGATTTTACATAGATGGTTGTATGTATATTAATAATATTCTGTACCTATGTATATCTGTTAGTCATATATCTAGAATACTGAGTAAATAGCCTTTTGGCATGTTAGAGACTGATTATAATCCCCAATCAGTGGTCTCTAGAGTTAGGTCCATAAATTCATGTTGGTGATCGTTACTTGGATTGCTATTCAAATACATATTCTTGAACCATGACCATCCCCAGTTCCATTGAATCAGTTTCTGAGATAAGTCTTCTAAACCATGAGCATAAATGGCTTGCTATATTGTTTCTCAAAATATACTGCATGACACAGAAGTGCTTTGTTTACATATCACTCATATTTAATTATATTTTTTCCAGAATAAATATCTTTTCTATTTTACCTTTCTATTTTAAAATATATTAAAACTGGACATACAAGATTAGACTAACTAGCTGGACCTGGTGGTAATTGCACCAGGAATTGCTGTAATTCCAGTGCTTGGGAACCTGAAGCAGGAGGACCATTGCAAGTTCGAGACCAACTTGGGCTACAAAGTGAGCTCAAGGCCAGCCTAAAATGTGTAGCAAGTCCTTGTCTCAAAAAGACCAAAAAAAAAAAAAAAAAAAAGAACAAAAAAGATTAGACTGAATATAACTTCATTTGAGTCTGATGTTAACCTCACAGAGATGTCTGGTGAAGATCTTTTCCTCAAAGAAAGTGAGAATGGGGTATACTAGCCCTTTATTTCCATGTTGTCTGAGATTGGGAACACTGAGTGTATTACACAGTAGTATAGTTTAAAACAGGAGTTATGGTCAATGGTAGAGTGGTTGCCTAGCATATGTGATATACTGAATTTGGTCCCTAGTATAATACAGCAAGCATGTGCACACATAGTGAAAATAAAAGATCTTGTGGCAGAAGTTAAAAAACAGCCCCTTGCTACTCACATACCCAATGTGTAGCTCTCTTGTGCCCAGAATCACATGTAAGTGATGGCTAGCTGAGATGGACAGAACAGTATTTCTCCCTATATAGCACTCGGTTTGATTGAACACTGACATTATCATTCACCTTAATTGCAAGAAGGGATCCTTTAAAATCCATAATTGCATTTTAGCTTCAGATGTTTTTCTGAGGGCCCTTTTCATTATATCACATAATGTCTTTGCTTCAGAATTCACTGGAAACCGATACCTTTGACCAGAATACCAAGAAATAACCCATGTTGGCCTTTAGTGCTGTTTGTCGCTCGCTTCCTTTTAACCCTGTGGATAGTTACTGACCCTGTTTCCTTTTTAATGCTGACTATCAGGAAACTGGAGCCAAATTCGCAGCTTCACTACCAAGAGTTCCAGACTTTGTAGTAGGCATTTTGACTTACTGACCTTATTCTGGCCATTTCAACATTTTTTTTATCTTTCTTTCTTATTTAACTGGATTTCCTTATTTTAAAACAACTTCACTCTTTTTAATAAACTACTTCAAGATGAGCTATTACTACATTGTAGAAAGAATATGCCCATTAGTGTTTTGTTTTTTATTTGTTGTTATTGTTGTTTTAGATAACATTTCTATGTAGCTTAGGCTGCTCCTGAACTTATTTTGTAGCACAGGCTGGCCTCAAACTTGCTTTTTTTTTTTTTTTTTTTTTTTTTTTTTTTTAAGTTTAAAAATCAAAACAAACAAAAATACACAGAATTTGTTTTAAAAATTGTAGGAAATTAACACTAATTACATACTGTTATCTTAGTAGTTGTTCAGGTTATAAGATCAAGGAATGCAAAAAATGATCAAGTAATGAAAGCATAAAAACTATTCTTTTTGATGAAGAAGATTAGTAGTATAGTTATCTATCATATATATGCACACACATATATATGCATATCTATTTACGTATAATCCTTTCCCTCCTTCCTGTTCTCCTTTTCCCTATCCCAGTTTTTTTTTTTTCCTCCTTTTGAACACTTTCTTTTCCCTTCATTATGGCCTCAAACTTTCAGTGAGTCTCCTGCCCCAGTCTCCCAAGTGCTGCAGTTACATGCATGCATTAGCATGCTTGGCCACTTAATTAGTTTTGATTGCCTGAAGTGCAATATACTTTTATTTCTGTTTTCCCTACTTTTCCTAAAAAAATGGGGGGAAAAAATGTAGCTAAGGGCAGAGAAAGCGAGTAACAAATGAGTCTTAGGCTGAGATCTGTCTCTAAAGCTGTACCATGCCAAGGTATTTCTTATGAAAGGGATATTGTTACAGATTCAAGTTCTTTTATCAATTAAAAGAAATTGTTTTCTTTCAACAGGGAGAATCTTGCTAGTGATATGTATCTTATATCACAGATGGATAGTGATCAATATGTGCCAATTACAACTGTAGCTAACCTTGACCATATCAAGAAACTCAGTACTGACATGGATTTGATTGTTGAAGTGCTAAGATGTAAGTAAATGACAATAACTCTTTTGACCAGTCGTCACACTGATTGAATTCATAGTTAAACCTTGAATCTGTATAGGTCATTTGAAGGAGAAAAGGCATCTCTTTAAAAGAGATTTTTATTAGTTGGATATGGTGGCGCATGCCTATAATCCTAGCACTTGGGAAGCTGAGGTGGGAGGATAGTTGTGAGTTCGAGACCAGCCTGCACTACAACGTGAGCTCAAAGCCAACCTGAACTGCATAGTAAGACCCTGTCTCAAAAAGACAAAAAATAAAAAAAATTTAAAAAAGATTTTATAGATGTTGTTTTATTAATGAGAAATAATGTGTTAATTAGCATTTTTCCTGCTTAAGGAATTTCTCTCAAATTTCAACTTCCTGTGCAAGTTTTGATGAAATACTGCATTTTTCCTTAAAGGATATTGTCAATGAAGTTGTTTGTTTGAAATTTGGCAACATCAAACGAATATTTAAATGTTACAATAGATACCTATAGGATTCAGGAAATGTAGTGAAAGTGTTTCCTATGGTGTCATTACTTAATTTGTGTCCTTGTTTTGTTTGTACTACCATTCTGTTCTGCTTTTTTGTTGTTGTTGTTTTTAAAGGACAGCTTTACTGGGCCCGAGATTTAGCTCAGTGGCATAAGCGCCTGCCTGGCAAGTGCGAGGTCGTGAGTTCAATCCCCAATACCAAAAAAAAACCAGCTTTACTTAGCTATAACCGACATCAAGTGCATGTATCTAAACTGTACAGTTAAATATTGACACAGGGATAGACATGGATGAAACCAGCATCACTACAGAGAAGCTAACAGTCCCTCCATCACTCTCAGAGTTCCCCTGGCCCTTGTAATGCTTCCTGTTATGGGCTTCATTGTACATTCCTTCTCTATTAAATATGTACTTTTAAAAATTGGTTTTTAATTATTACAAATTTACTTTTTTATATGGCTGTAAATTCCAGGTGAAATTATTTTCTTTTCTTTTTTTTTTTTTTTTTTTTTTTTTTTTTTTTTTTTTGTCTTTTTCTTTTTTATCGGTACCGGGGATCGAACTCACGACTGCCTGCTTGCAAGGCAGGCACTTATGCTGTTGAGCTAAATCTCCAGCCCCGTAAAATTATTTTCATAGTTTCCCTCCTGAGGACTGATACATAATGCAGTTTAATGGGTGTCCTTCACAAGCAACAGAGTGTGAATCATACATTTTCCACTATTGCCTTCATTTTTTTGAATGATGAGACCCTGCATGCCTCATTTCTGTGACTACATACCTGTTACACTTGTGTCGAGGTGTTTCCACATTGTCCTTATCCCTATGCATCAATGACACAGTGTCATATTTTCTCTGTCTTGTGTGAATCTGATTTAACAATCGTTGAAAAGGAACTTTTTACTTTAGAACTGAGTTGTGGGGAAAAGAAACCATGTTGGGATTTTCTAGTCAGAATTAAAATTGTTTTCTGTTTTTCTGTTAGACAAAAAGTAACTGGCAAACTATGAATTTTGAACATTGTGCCATTTCCTAGGGTCTTGTTGCCAACATCCACAATAGAAACCTCCTTTTTTTCTGTCAGTAGAATTTGGTTTTATCTGACTCACTTTATAAGACCAGTAACTTCCTTGTTACCTATCTGTACTCTATTAGTCTTCTTGATTATTAGGAATTCCAGATTTAGTTATTCTGTTTAGGCATTCCTTGTAAACTTTGCTGCCCCACCAAAGATAATTTCAGAATTGAATCTTGCTAGTCAAGGATTACTTGTTCAGTCTATTAGAATACTTAATTGCTTTGCATACTTGCTTAAAGGGACTAGTTTATGTGTGAATCACTCATCTATGTTTCCCCCAAAATAAGACCTAACTAGAAAATTATCAGCCTTAAGAATTAGAGCTCAAAAAATGCCAACCTAACCTTATCTGCTAACGCCACTCACTTAGGCTGTCCTTACCTTACCCGCCATTACCACTCAGTCTCTGTATCTTACCTGCCATCCCTATTCTCTTGCTCAGTAGAGCTCCAGTTGCTTTATATACTCACCAACACTTAGAATGAAGTCGTTTTAATTTTAGATTTTCATGATTTTAATTTGTTTCTTTAGTGGTTTGTTTTGTTCTCTGAAATGTCTCTTCAAATAGATCCATAAACATACTTTCTTACTTGTTTATGTGACAGATGAGGGTTTTTAAAAAGTGTATTTTTTTAAACTTCCCTAAAAGTGTAATTTTAGATTCCTAACAAAATTAAGAGGAAGAGTAGCTATCAATATCCCCCATCAAAGTGATCTATTTTTAAAAGAGTTGATGAACCCACATCAACGTATCATCTACCATTTACATTAGGAATCCCTGATTTTGGAGGAGGTTCATTTGGTTTTGGTTTTGGTTTGGTGTGATTTTTTTCAAGCACTTGGGATTGAATCCAGCGGTACTCCTATCACTGAGCTATACATCCTTGGTCCCTTTTTTGAGATAGGATCTCACTCAGTTGCCCTGGCAGTCCTCAAACTTGTGATCTGCCTGCCTCAAGTAGGGATTGTAAACATACCGGGGGCCCAAGTAGGATTCACTCTTGTGTTGCACACCTTCTGTGGGCTTGGCCAAATGTATGCATGTGTCTGCCATTATGGTATTATACAGAAAGATTTCATTGCTTTAAAAATCTACATTGCCTATTCAGCTTTACCCCAGCACCTAGCAATTATTAACCTTTTTATTGTTTCCATAGTTTTACCGTTTTCAGAATATCGTAAAGCTGGAATCATATAGGATGTATAATTTTTTAATATTGAATTCTTTTCCTTGATAATATGGATTTTATTTGCCTTGTTTCTTTTTAGTGCTGAAAAATATTCCATTGTCCGAATGTACCACTGTTTATCCAAGGACATCTTGGTTGATTTATGTTTGACAGTTATGAGTAAAGCTGCTATAAATATTTGTTTGCAGATTATATACACATACATTTTCAACTTATTTAGATAAATAGCGAGGACTGCTTAGCATGGCATCTGGTAAAAGTATGTTTCACTTTTAAGAACTTGCCAAAACTGCATTTCTCCAATAACATGTGGATTATATTTGCTTGTGATTATTTGCCACCTGTAAATCGTCTTTGGTGAAACATCTTTTTTAGATGTTTTGTCTACTTTTTAATTAGGTTCATTTTCTTATTATTGACATTTAGGACCTTTCTTTAACAGTCCTGTATCAGATGTGACTTCTCAAAACTTTGTTCCTAGTCTGTGACTTGACTTTGTTCTCTTGACGTTTTCTTTCATGTCTAATTTCAGTGAAGTTTTAAATTTTAATGAGGTCCAACCCATCAGTTTTTTTCTTGCATGAATAGTATCTTTGATATCACCTCTAAAATCATTGCAAGTTATCTAGATTTCTCCTGTGTTCTGTGAATTATAGTTTTCATTTTATGCTTAGATTTGTTGTCGTTTTTGATACATTTTGTGCTAATTTGTACATGTCCAGTTATTGTCACTTTTTAAAACAAATAGAGAGCTAAATAAATGAAGATACATGGTTTACAAAAATATTCTTCCACCCTATGGTTTATGTTGTTTTTTGTGAGTGTTTTTGAGGAGCAGAAATATACTTTTTTTTTTTTTTTTTTTTTTTTTTGAAGATCTTGCTTAGTCCAGAGTTATAAAGGTTGTCTTCTAGAGGTTTCAATCAGCTTTTGGATCTGACTTATCATAAGTTAAATAGACAATGTACATTAAATGCATTGTGTAAGGTATCCATTCTTCCAGCACCATCTGTTGAAATAACTTGCCATTGCATCACAAATATTTGCCCATACATTTATGGGTTTATCTTTGAATTATGTGTTATTTTATTGATTTATTTGTCTGTATTGATGCTAAGTGTACCACAGTGTTTTGATTACTATAATTATATGTCTTAAACTAGATATGCAATATTTCTGCCTTTGTTTAAGCTCTCTTAAATGTTTTGTATTTCCACATGAATTTTAGAATCAGCACTATTATTTTAAAAAGGGCTTATTGGAACTTTTTGGTGATTGTGTTGATTCCGTAAGTCTACTTGAGAAGAATTGGCATCTCAACAATAGTGAATTTTCCACTTTATTTATTTAGTTCTTTCTTAGTTCCAAGCAATGTTTTGTGGGTTTTCATGTATATGGGTTTTTTTCATGTATTTTATCAGATTTATGACTCTATATTTTACATTGCTATGCTATTATAAATGATATTTTTAATTCAATTTCTAGTTGTTTGGTGTTAGTAGGTTCATTCTCCTTTATTTTGTATACCAAAGCACTAAAAAGCTCAATAAATTCTAGTTATTTACAGAAATTATATTAGATTTCTACATTGGTAAGCTTATTTTCTGTTTTCTGTGAATATCTTTTTATACAAAATCTAGGTACTTTTCATTCCTATTATTTAATTGCGCTGGTATTAGGGAAGAAGGGAGAATAGACACTCTTGCTTTCTCAGATGTTCTCAGATTATGGAGGGAATCATTTTCCATCATTAAATGTAATGCTATCTGTGGATTTTTCATAAGTGACACTTAACTGGTTGACATTCTCATTCTCTGCTGAAAACTTTTTAACAGAAATTGTATAGTTCAGGGGCTGGGGATTTAGCTCAGCGGCATAAGCGCCTGCCTTGCAAGCAGGCAGTCGTGAGTTCAATCCCTGGTACCGATAAAAATGAAAAAAAAAAAAAAAAAAAAGAATACAAATACTAATCAAAATATATTAAAAAAAGAAATTGTATAGTTTTTAAAAATTTTTTAATTCATTAATACAATTTAGACAGCTTGATTTTTTTTTTCAAGTGGTAAGCCATTGTTGCTTACTGAGATAAATCCTATTTTTTGTGATTTATTACATGTTTATATGGTATTGGATTTACTTTGCCAAAATTTGATGAGTTAGTATTGTTTTTCTTTTTACTTAATATTTGAATTTCTCCAGTGAAACTATGTAAGCCTTGAATTTTTTCCTGACAAGATATCCCTCTCCCAACTCTGCATAGCAGGAATTAAACTCTGGACCTTCACACTAAGCTGCATCTTTAGTTCCTTTATTCTTTATTTTACAATGCTAAGTCTCTTAGTTGCCCATGCTGGGCTTAAATTTCAGATACTTTGCCTTAGCCTCCCAGAGCATTATAGATCACTGGGATTATAGATCACTACCACTGCATCTCATGGCAAGATTTTAAATTATTAATTTCATTCCTCTTGTAGATACAGATTTGTTCCTATTACCTCTTTATTCTAGAGTGATATTTAGTAGTTTGTGTCTTTTAAGGAATGTTTCTGTTTTATGTGAATTGTCTATTTATATAATTTTACTGATCTAGATACTATTTATGAGTATTCTGCTATTAGCCTGTAAAAGTTGTGATGTTATAGCTTCCATTTATGATATTGGTGATTTGTTCTCTCATGATAATGGATACCTCAGAGCCTTGGTTGTGATCATAACAAACTATCATTTGAACCTATATGTGACATAATTCCATAGAAGTAACACCAGAAGACAAACTTTACAGAAAAAGGCCCAAGATGACTGGTGACATTAGACCTGAATTTGGCCTGTTTCTTCTGTGGCATTTGCACCATCATCAGCATCCCTTGTAGAATGTGTTCTAAAGTTATGTAAGATAGTATCATTAGGAAGAACTGGGTAAAGAGTGCCTAGCAACCTTGAATGAGCCTTAGACAATTGCCAAAAAAGATGCTATAATAAGACAAAATTATGTCACTTTGTACTTGTGCAAAGGAGAAAACCCTTTAACCTTATATTCTAATCTATTATTTGAGCTGTTTAGAATCTCTGTTTCATAGTGATACATGTTATAACTCTTGTAGGGCTTCTTAAAATTTTCATCTTCCTCAATTTTGAAGACTTTCACGTGCAAGATTGGTTTAAAAATTTTGATAGTTTTGTGTTAGACTGCCAGAACTACTCATAGTTTGCCAGTAGAAACCAGTAGATAGCGTTCTTCAGTGTGATTAGTAATACAATGTTACACACTCCCATTGGAGTGTCACGTTTTAATATTTGTGTTTAATCATTTCTTTTTCTTATTTCTGTAGCTTTACCTTTGGTCCAGGTGGATGAGAAGGGAGAAAAAGTAAGGCCAAATCAAAATCGTTGCATAGTAATATTGCGTGAAATATCTGAATCTACCCCTGTGGAAGTAAGTAATTTCTCTAGTGGATAGTTGGACATTTTCTTTGCTTTGTCTTATTTTTAAACACCTGTGTTTTTAGAGAGTTTTTTTTTTTTTTTTTTTAAGTAAATACCTAAGTTTTCTCGGGATTTGCACACATTGATAATTCGTAAGAAGAAAGGAATTTCAACATTTTTGGTTTTTTTGTTTTTTTTTTTTTTTTTAGGCTAGTCAAGTGAAGCAGTGGGAGTGGAGAAGGAACAAAGAAATCTGTAACTGGTTGTGATCAATTAGTTGTAAACACCATTGCATTCAGACCTGCCCACATTTTTGGTTTTAAGACTGTTACCCTCATTTTATTTTTGTGGTGAGATTGAACCCAGGACCTTTGTGCACTGAGCTGCATCCCCAACTCTGCCACTTCTCCTTTTTTATTTTTTATTTTTTTGGTACTGGGGATTGAACTCACGACCTGGTACTTGCCAAGAACGCATTTAGGCCACTGAGCTAAATCCCCTGCCCACCTCTTTTATTTTGAGACAGCATCTCACTCACTAAGTGTTCCAGCTTAGATTTAAACTTGGCAGTCCTGATTCAGTCTCCCATAGTGCTGGAATTACAGTTGTGTGCCACTACATCCATTCTCATTTACACACTTTACATTAAATATTGAGAAATTAAAAATGAGAACAACTTTAAATATTTATTCACTAAGAAATAATAAATGTCAAATTAAGAAAAAGCATTTTTTTGATAAAGTACTTTTTCAGAATAAATATTTTTATGACAAGATCAACCTGTTTGAAGAAGTCTGTAATGAGCACATTTACTTGCTGCCTCCTTTACTTGCTGCCACCATAAGTGTAAATATCTTCTGAGTAAAAGAAGGCAGTATCACCTTTTTATGAAAATGATGTCTGGAATCATCCTTAGGGCATCAATAACTTGGAGCAGTAATTTTAGAGAGCCATAGTATTTGATACTAAGAATAATTAAAAATAACCAGGCATGGAAGTATACATAGCTGTAATCCCAGCTACTTGTAAAGCAAGAGAATCACAAGTTTCAGGCCAGTCTGGACATGATAACAAGACTATCTCAAAATTTTAGAAGGGCAGAGGATGTAGTTCAGTGGTAGTGTACTTGCCTGGCATGTATACGGTCCTGTGCAATTGTTCAGTAGTTAGTTCTGAAAAACATTTAATAGTAATGAAAAGCAATAACTATATTGTATTGGTATCTATTACTTGTCCAAATTCTTAACCCAGGTTTCCCTGTACAGTGAACATACTGGCTGGGTCTGGAGATAATGAAGACAAGTCTTATATGGAAGGTGCTAAAACTTAGCTCATCAAATTAGTTCTTGTCCACCTTGGAAAACAGCATGTATCTGCTTTAGGAACTCTTACAGAATACAGTCGGCTTGGTTTATTATTTATAATTTATATCATTTACAGAATATAAACTTAACCACTCGTATCTTTTAAAACACTTTTTCTGTAGAAGAAGCAGAGATTTCTATTCACACTTGAGAGACTTAGCTTTTGGGCCTTGCAAGTGTGAGGTCCTGAGTTTGATTCCTGGTACCCACCAAAAATAAAACAAAAGTTTTAACTCCTAGTTAGATAGTATATGTGAACGTTTATTAAGGAAAACACTTATAAAAGTTAACAAAGGTAAGGATTCCAACAAAGTCTACATTAAGAAATTATGTAGTATGGTCTTACTATTTAAGTATCTATTTAAATATGTTCTTACTCTGTCAAGTTTTACTTCCTGTTCACAAAATGGTTTTATTAGTTCTATATTATAATATGTGGAAAAAGGGAAATAGGCATTTAAATTTTTCTTCACATTTTTATTAAGTTTCTGAATATGAGAGCTAGGGTATATATTGTTACTCTGTCATTATTAGATCAAATTAATATTTAAAATACAGATCCTAATTTTCAAGATTTCAGATATTTGTAAAAATTACAACCAAGTAAAATTTTCTACATTTAGTAGTAGCCATTGATCTTCCTATGTTTGTATTTAAAACTGCACACCGTATGCTGTGCTAAGTTAGCCAATGAAAGTCTGAGAAAAAGGTGTTTCCAAGGATTCTATGGTATATACAGCCTTTCTACAGGGGCTCAAAAGTGTAAGCTAAGAATTTCCAGGAAGTTTTCTGTTCCTTAAATGTAACTAGATTCTTCTCAGTGATTAGAACATTTTTAATATTGATAAGATTTTCATATGATAGTTTATATGAGATGCTCCCAGAGACAGAACTGACGTTACTACTGACTGACAGCCTGGTGGCATCGAAGGATTATTGTTTGAGGTTGGAAATAGTAATACTAACTAACCATTAGTCAATTTGATCTCTGCATTTATTTACCTTCTTTTAACCGGTAAGTATTTCTTAGAGATTACACAACCAACAAGGCATTGGAATCTCAGACAATAGCTCGGTGTGGTGGCATGGCTGTAATCCTGGTACTCAGGAGGCTGAGGGAGGAGGATCGCTGTGAGTTGGAGGCCAGCCTGAACTGCATAGTGAAAACCTGTCCCAAAAAGACAAAAAAACAAAACAAAACTCTCAGAAAATAATTTTTGTAGTTACTTGATTCATTCATTCCTTAAGTACTTTTTGAAGTATAAGTAACAGTTTTTTATTAAATGACTGTGTTTTTTCCTGATACTGTTTTTGCTCTTAGGACTACTATGTCCAATATAAATATAGCCACTGCCCCTTTAATCTCTAAATGTTGGTGTGGTGTTTCTTTTCCACCCTTTTATTTTAGCCCATTTTTGTCTTTACATTAAGAATGAATTTCTTGCTTTTATTATGCAGTGTGAATTTTTTTTTTCTTTTTTTCGTAGACAGAAGTGGGAGATTACACCCAGGGCCTCACACTTGCTAGGCAAGCAACCTACACTGAGCTACACTGAGCTGTCTCCATCCCCATAACAGCTCACCTGAAAAATAATGCCTTTTCATTGTGGGTGGAGCACATTTATTTATATCTACATGATCAGTGATGTGGTTGGATTGACTTTTACAGTCTTACTTTTTGGTTTCTATTTGCTTCTGCTGTTCTTTGTTTCCTCTCATCTTTACCCCTTGTTTCTAACTTGCTTCTTTAGAGATGAGTATGTTTTATAGTGCTTGCACTAGGATCTGCCCACACTAAGTTTACCAAAGTCTGCCTTTACTTAGCATTTCCTCACATTAGTTTTCTACTTCTGGCTTTGTGCTATTGTCATATATTTTACTTCTACATTGTCATAAATTCTACAGTATTTTACATTTACTTTAAATAAATCAATTTCCTTTAAAGAAATAAAAATTGTATATTTGCTAATATTTACTATTTCTGTTGATTTACATTCCTCTGTGCAAGTCTAAACTTCCCTCCCCTCTGTTAGCGTCTTCCTTTAACTTGACAGTTTCATTAAGATTTCTTGTGGTACAAGTCTGCTGATGATTAATTTGTTTTATCTTTAGAATGTTTGAGATTTTAGGCTCATTGATGAAGTTTTTTTTCTAGATATGATTTCTAGATTGATGAGAAATTGTATACCTTTTTGTCTTTTTTTTTTTTTTTTTAATTTGTATTAGGAATTGAACTCAGTACCTTATGCTTGCTGAGAAGGTGCTATGCCACTGAACTACATTCCCAGCCCTTTCCTTTCTAGGTTGTAAAGATGTTTGCTCTTCTGTTATTCTGCACTGTTTCTGGAGATGAATCTGCCATTTTTATCTTCATTCTGTATAACTCTTTGGCTGCTTTGAAATCATGTCACAGGTTTTAAGCAATTTGATTGCAAGATGCTTTGGTTTAGCTCTTGTTTTTCATATTTTGTTGTGTCATTACTCAAATATTTTCTCTTTACGCCCTTGTCGCCTTTTCTCTAGAAAGTATCTAATAAGCTGTTAATTTTTTAAAGTGCTATTTAGACATGCATTTTTTTAATCTTTGTAAGTTTAATTTGGATTCTTTTCCCCATTTCTGTTTAGCAGTCTCAGTCTACCTTTTTGAGCATATAAAGTATGTGATATTTAGTAACTCTTTGAAATGCCCTTGCCTAATATTCTATCTGATTTCTAGCCTTAATTTGATTGTTGTTTCTCATTATAGGCCATATTTTTCTGTTTTTTGGCATGGTCGGTAATTTTTCAATGAATGTCAGGCATTTGGGATCTTTATTGGATTACAGGGGTTTTTTTATTCTTATAAATTATCTTGGGTTTGGTGATCTACATCTATAGCCTCAGCTTCTCAGGAGACTGAGGCAAAAGAATCTCTTTGAAACTCCAATTTCAAACAATGAAAAGTTACTTGGAACCAATTTGATCCCTAAGGAATATTTGCTAGATGGACTCAGAGTAGCCTTTTAGACTCATATTCACTGCTAAGGCAATCACCCCCACCCCTTTCTGAGTACTTTGCCTCATGTCCCATGAGTTTAGAAGAATTTTCCATTCTGACTCCCTGGTAAGCTCACACTATACTGTTCACTTCGGATCATTTCAGGTTGTTTCCATTTCAGTCTGAGGAGTAGGGGCAGGCTCTCTATGGAGCTCAGGTCCTACGCAAACTCTTCTCAGGCGGTGACCTGGACACTCCTCCAGGCATCAGTTGGGCATTTTGGAGTCTTACCGTATTCATGTCCTCTCTCTCACAAGCCACTGTACTAGACTATCTGATTACCAGTATTTCAGAATCCTTATTTCACAATTCTGCCATTTTTTTATTTTGTTAATTGGGGCAATAAATCTAGTTGAGCTAGTGTTTCTTAGTTTTTAAATTACTTTTTTTTTGTGTGTGTATGGTTACCAACCTAAAATGGTATATTATTTTTCATAATAGTTCATCTTAGTGGTTCCTCAGAAATGGAGAAAGCTCTCTTAAGTTGTATAGCTAGGCATTTTCCTGCAGCATTGCAATTCTAATTTTGGAAGTTTTACTGAATCATTCAGCCTTTTTCAAATACTATTGAGTAAGCAGCATAGCATGTTGGATTGTGTTTAAGTATATATATTTTTTGTTATTTGTCTTTAATTTTAGTGATGATAAAAATGGCATATAGTTCAGCATTAATTACTAAACTCTGTATTTCCTATAGGAAGTAGAAGCACTATTTAAAGGAGATAATTTACCAAAATTCATAAACTGTGAATTTGCTTATAATGATAATTGGTTTATTACATTTGAAACAGAAGCTGATGCACAGCAGGTAAGTTCATTTCTCTACCACCCTGTTTAGTACATAGTTTGCCTGTATTTAGTATTGGTATGTAGAATAAATCTGGACATGGAGATTGTTACCAGATACAAGTGTTGTTTGAATACAAAATGCAGAGAAAAGAGTGCTTAAGCTTAAATGGTTGTGTTTTGTAGCATTCTACAAACACGTGACATTACTTTTTTTTTGGTTGTCTTTTTCCTTTTTATCGGTACCAGGGATCGAACTCACGACTGCCTGCTTGCAAGGCAGGCGCTTATGTAGCTGAACTAAATCCCCAGCCCCTACTTTCTAAGGATATTGTAACATAAGCAGTCTAGGAAAATCATTGCTGTCATATAGCTGGATATAGAAAGATTTTACTGATTTTATTGCAAAGAATTCAGGAACATTTGAACCTAGCCATAATCTTTCAGGAGGGCATCATTGTGTTTCGAGTTACTTTTAAAGATACTGAGCAATACATTCCTTACCAGAAGAGACCTAGAACAGCAAAGGCAGTCCTGGGCCACCAAGACAGGGGGCATCATAATCCCTAACTTGAAATTATGCTACAAAGCTACTGTAATAAAAACAGTGTGGTATTGGCAAGGAAAAAAAAAAAGGCCCCAAGATTAATCGAACAGATTAGAAGATGCAGAAACAACTCCAGACACACTAAGCCACCTTTATCTTTGACAGAGGTGCCAAACACATTCACTAGAACAAAGATAGCCTGTTTAATAAATGGTACTGGGAAAACTGGCTCTACACAAGCTGAAGATTAAAACTACACCCATATCTTTCACTGTGTACCAAGTTAAAATCAGAATAGATCAAAGATCTTAGTATTAAAACAGAAACATAAAGTAGATAAAACTCTAGAAGACATTGATGTAGGCAAAGACATGAACAAAGCCCCACGTTGCACAGGAACTCAAAGAATCAGTAACTAGGATCTTACTGTGTTAAAAAGCTTTCACACAAGAAAAACCACCAACAGAGTAAAGAGACAACCCACAACATAGAAGAAAATGTTTGTCAGCTGTATCTCAGACAAAAGATTTCTATGGAGAACATGCAAAGAACTAAAAAAAAATCAATCCTCCAGGATTTAGAGACCCAATCCAAAAATGGGCATCTGATGTGAATGCACACTTTTCAGTTGAGGAAATGTGAATGCAAATAAATATGTGAAAAAATGTTCAACATCACTGGTCATTTGAGAGATACAAATTAAAATAACACTGAGATTCCACCTCAGCCCAGAAAGAATAGCTATTATCAAGAAATCAAACAATAACAAATGCTGAAAGGGCAATGGGGAAGAAGGAATCCTTCTCCACTGTTGGTGGAAATGTGAACTGATGGAACCAGTGTGGAGGTTCCTCAAGGACTAGAGGTCCCATTCAACCCAGCTATTCCCCTCTGGGTATCTTCCCAAAAGAATTAAAAACATCATGCTACAGTGACATACGTGCACCCATGTTATAGCAGCATAATTTGTAATATCCATATCTTGGAAACAAATGCCCATCCACTGAGGAATAGATTTTTTTTTTAAAGTAATGTTTATACAATGGAATACTATTGAAACACAAAAAAGGATAAACTGGAGACTTTTTTTTTTTTTTTATATCGGGGGTCGAACTCACTACTGTGCACTTGCAAGGCAGGCGCTTATGCCACTAAACTAAATCCCAGCCTCCATAAAACTGGAGACTTTTATGGATAAATGGATACAACTTGAGACATACTCAGTAGTGAAATAAATAAAACACACGTGTAAATGTTGTATCATGTCAGTATGAGAACGTGAAAGAAACAACATATGTATAGGTACATGTAAATGTATATAAAAATAGTTAAGATAGTTATACTACTGATTTCTCTGAGTTCACTGAAGAGAAAGAGTTGAACAGGTATTATTCAGACAATTAAATGCAGATGTCTTATGCTCTGGATGAATGATTTAGAGATGACTGTGCAATGTATGTACCATTGTTTCTCCCTGTTCGATATGTTTTGTTTTAGGGCTTTCTTGCTTTCTTTCTTTCTTTTTTCTTTTTTTTCCTTGAGATAAAATGGATTTGGGGAGGTGGGGAAGAGAAAGAAATACATTCCTTGAGAAGACAGAAGGAGTTAGAAAATACTTGTTTCGTTACCCTTGAAGGAAATTATCTTGTTTGTGAGAAACAGATTAATGAATGTGAAGTATTAAATGGTGCAAATGCTATTAGACGTTCAAAAGAGATGGCACAAGAACCTGAAAGATAGTTTTAATTGAATCTAAGGAAAAATGGGAGCTAAGAAACATCGTGCTTATGGAATAAAGTACAAGCATGCTAACCCACCTGAATATTACTGGTTGAAGTTAAATGAGAATATACAGAGCTTTTGGAGATATGTGGGGAGCTTAATTTATATTTAATGTGCAGAAGACTAGAGAGTTATATATAAATAATTGAATATTCAGTCCTTATCTTTTTCCCACTCTGTGTAGGAATTATCTGATCCTAATTTCAAATTAGGAACTCAGTATTTATTATTTCCTCTGTGTCAGTATATTTACTTTGTGGTCTTAGGGAGACTTTTATGATATCTGTTAATACTTTTAAAACTATATACAAATCCTGGGGCTGGGGATTTAGCTCAACGGCATAAGCGCCTGCCTTGGAAGCAGGCAGTCATGAGTTTGATCCCCGGTACCGATAAAAAAAAAAAAAAACTATATACAAATCCTACATATGTGATGTTGGGTAGGAGGTTTCCTAGTGCTTATTAAGTTATTTGAAGGTATTTTTGACCCAGAGGGTACAGGATCACTTTTATTTATAAGATTAATACAATAGCATTTTGGATGATTTTTGCCCATAGGCTTATAAATACCTGCGAGAAGAAGTTAAAACTTTTCAAGGAAAGCCAATTAAGGTAAGCAAGACTGTTGGTTATACTTCCTTTATTTTCTAACTAATGTACTTCAGTATTCTAACAAAAAGTTAAAATGTTTTCAAACAGGCACGGATAAAAGCAAAGGCAATAGCTATAAACACATTTTTGCCAAAGAATGGATTTAGACCTCTGGACATGAACCTTTATACACAGCAGCGTTACACAACATCGTTTTATTTACCTCCAGTATACAGTCCCCAGCAGCAGTTTCCTCTGTACAGCCTGATTACCCCCCAGACGTGGTCAGCAACGCATAGCTATCTTGATCCATCCTTGGTAAATCTTCTTTTTAAACCTTGGAATTTTCTTAGAAATTTATATTTTAGAATTGTACCAGTAATCTGGAAATTTTAAAGCCTAGTTTAATTGGGGAGCTAGATATGTTTGCAGTTTGCTATAATAAATGTTTAGGTTATGTTGTAGATTTTAAATATAATTGGGTGATAAAGACAGCTGTATGTATAAAAATTTTCAGTACTGTGATCATGATTTTTGTCCAATTCATCTCTCCTCCTATCCTACATTTCCTTTCCTGTAAGACACAGAATGCAGTAAGAACTCTTGTATGATGGATGTCCTTCTGAGCACAGAGGAAATTGGCAAGGGGAGATTTGTTAAGGAGAAAGAGGTATTTTAATAGTATTAACAATCCAGGACAAATGGAATACATGCTGTCTTACAAAGTGTGGTTTTACTTCTCTCATACTAGCCTTATGCTTAAATTGTTGGTATACTAATAAGTAAAACAAAGTGCTCATGAAAAAACTCAGGCTGAAAAAGACAAATGTGCCAAGAAGATGATAACTTTGATAATAGAATGTATCTAAAGTATCACTAAACTTACAATTAGGGGTTTATCAGGCACTGTGTTTTTACATAAGTTGAACTTTTCTAGTTATGTAGGATTTTATTATAAGGGTTCAAAGAGAGAAGTTTCGTGGGTAAACTTATCCACAAAAGTTTGCAAATGATGGGGCCAGGGATTTAGCCCAATGGCATAAGCACCTGCCTTGAAAACGTGCATTGAGTTCGATCCCTGGAACCGGGGGCGGGGGGTGTAAATGGTTATAGACCAGGTTATTTCTGAGCTGAAGCTTAACTGAATATGGGGACAAGGGAAGTAAAGCTGGTAAGTTTTCAGGCCAAGTCGTACAAGTCCCTTACATGACATACAGATTCATGTGAATTTTTACCTTGTGGCTTGTGGGAAGTTGTCAGACGTTTCTGAGCGGGAAAATGAGGTCATGTAAAAGGTAGGTAGGGACAGAAAAATGAGTTAACTGAAAGAACATGCATGACACTGTGAAAGTCTGAGCACTACAGTAAAAGAATGTTTGCCATACGAGTGGCTAAAATGTAAAGTTATTTCAGTCTCCTCTGTCTCTTCCTAGTAGTAAGAACATGTACTGCTTTTAAAAAATATTGTTACACTCTGTAAGAATACCTGTGTTCTTACAGTTCCTCATCACTAGAGAACCGTAAAGGAACTACATTTCTTAGGGTCTTGCTATTGAATAGTCTTCCCCAAACATTGCTAAATGCCATGCTTTCCCAATTCTCTTCCTACAGTCAGTTACTAGTTACTCCTTGGCTGGACTGTGCTCTCTCAGGACATTGGGTCAGTTATGGTCTTGACTTTTGTTTTTACATTCAGATTACTTTTTATGATGGCCATATGGACCTGACCTAGGTATGTGAAATCAGGTTCTTTCCTCAAAGCCTTTTCTTGATTTGAAGTATTGTGCCAGTTGAGCAAAAGTAAAAAGATGGTGCCTGTTAATTCCTAGCAAGTTACAGTGTTAAATTACTGTTACACAAATTTATTTTTTAAATTTCTAAGCAAAATTATTCAAGCATCAGAATTCCATATATAAAGTTACAAATGTGAAAGTCTTTATTAATATTACTGTGAGTTAAAAATCTTAAAAATTTAGACCTGAGTAGATGGTTCTAGTGTAGTATATTTTTTAAATAGTCTGTAGAGCCTGTTTCTAATTAATGTGTTTCCTTATTGTTATTTTAAATTTTGTTTTTAAATTGATGAGTGATAAGCAGTTTTAATATCCTTTTTGCATTGTGGTAGTGATGGCAAATCTTTTAGAGCTTTCAGTGATACAAACAGCCTCCTGTGGCATATGTTCCATAGGTTCACCACCACTGTATTATAGCTTCCACTTAACTCTAAACAAGAATTACTTTTTTACTTTTGTGTCTTCTAATTTTCAACCATGGGTGGCCTTTATCAGTCTTGTAAAAGTTTAGGGTGAGGATTGGAGGACCACATGCAAGTAAATACTTTCAAAGGAATGTCAGTAACACAGAGAGTAAATGAAACAGTATGTCTAAAAGCCAGAAAATTAGTGATCTTTGTCTTTTATTTATCTAAATTTTGAAAGTAGTTGAGTGATAATTCTATGCTTAATGTTTGACTTTTGAAAATTAGGTTTAGGATTATCTTTTAAGGGATCTGTGACTTTTAAATTTTTTCTTCTGAATCTTACATCAGCATATTTATAGGCCATGTGTTACCTTAAAATATGACTTGAGGAATAATTACTAATGATCTGAAAATATACTGCTTTTTAAAACAGTACTTCAGTGGAATTAGAGGCTAAAAAATAGCATTGTCAAAATTTGTGATGAAGTAAGCAAAGTTAGTAGCATCAGTATATAAATGTTCTTACATTGAGAACTTTGACGCAATTTATGAAGGTCACTGAGAATAAAAAATTATTTTACTTCTTTCCAGGGATAAAAGTAATATTATTAGTATCTTTTAGGTTAAGTATTTGAACGTGCTGAGCCAGTGCCTATGTTCAGAACACCATGTGACCTTGAGCATGGTTCTATCCTCATCTGTCAGTTTCTACATGTATAAATTATCTTCTCCATTGTACTATTGTGAGGTTTAACTGAGACGGTGTAGAAAAAAGTTCTTACCACCAGCCAGGTTATTGTGAGTGCCCTGTAAATTTTAACCTTTAATAACAATCTTAAAAAATACTTAACTTACCTTACATCCACTTTTAAGAATAACTTGGAACATTATGTTTCTGGTAAGAGGAGGAAGTAAATTATACCAAGATAGAACAGTACTAACTAAATTGTGGTTTATTTGATGATGTGTTTACTTGTTTCTTAATAAATGTAGGTAACTCCATTCCCAAATACTGGATTTATAAATGGGTTTACATCTCCAACCTTCAAACCTGCAACATCTCCTTTGACTTCACTCAGACAGTATCCTCCTAGAAGCAGGCAAGTTCCAAAAATGATTCAGTGCTTACAAGCTTCATGTTGCTGTTTTTTTCCACTATCTGGAACTAACTAGATACACTTGATACTGTACTAATCAAAGGTAAACATTTGAAATGTAACAACTACAGTCTGTAAAGACAAGCACCAAAATCAGTTCCCTCCATAAAGGGCTAGATTCTCTTCAGAGAAGGTTTTTGGGGCTACTTGTGCCATACATGCATGACTGACTGCTTTTAAGTTGGACCTGTACTAGCAAACCAGCAACCAGTGAATTGGATGACATATGATTAATATATTTGCAGTAATCCTTTGTGTTGTGCATGGACTTTTCTGAACAACTTTTACATTTATTAAATACTATCGTATATTTTAGCTTAGATATTTTGCATTAGCATGCTCATTATGTAACACCTTGACTGTTTTATAACTGAGCATAAACAAACATTTTATTTGTAGGAATCCTAGTAAGTCTCATCTGCGCCATGCGATTCCTAGTGCAGAGAGAGGACCTGGGCTGCTAGAAAGTCCTTCAATATTTAACTTCACCGCAGATCGATTAATTAATGGTGTCCGGAGCCCACAGACAAGGCAAACAGGGCAAAGTAGAACACGAATACAAAACCCTTCAACTTATGCCAAGAGAGATATTGGGACTGGGCGTGTGGAGCCAAGTAGTCTTGAATCTTCTCCTGGTTTAGGGAGAGGAAGGTAAGTTGCTCATGTATTTTGTTTACGTATCAGAAACTGTTAACATTTTAAAGTTTCCTTATTTTATGTTTTGTAATTATTTTCTAATCTAGCTCAGAAAATCAAACTGAAAGGTGGAAACATCAAAAATTTAAATAATTGATGGGAATAGTTGCTTTCAGAACGGAGGCTTAACTGTTTGGTTGTTTGGTTCTGGTTTTACACACATGAAATTTTTATTCTAAGAGAACAGTAGATGGAATTGAACTCTTTTGAAGTTATAGTCATTGTGTATTTATAGAGAAAGTGGAGTTCTGCTGTTTCCAGATTCCACTGTGTGTGCCTGCAGTCTCACCATGGTAGTTGTCCCTGGCTCTCCAGGTCCTACCTTCTTCAGAAGTTGGCTTCCAGGCTTTGCCTCATGGACTCCGAAACTCACTCCCTTTCTAGTTGGTAGTAGGTATAGTAGACAAAGAGAGGAGTTTGGGAGCCAGGCAAACCAGTATGAAAGTTCCATTTCTACTAAATTTGTCTACGAAGTGGTACCTGTCCTTGGCTATTATTCTATCCTTGGGTGAGAAGTCTTAATATCCTTGGTATCTGTAGTCATTACTTAAGCTTGTTACCATGCATTATGAAACTCAACTTCTGTATATACCCATTTCATTCTCACTGTTTGCCTTGTGTCTTAATTACTTTTTACTTGTTGCTGAGACAAAATACCTGAAGCCCAAGTTGGGAAAGGAAAGGTTTATTTCTTATAGTTTTTTGGAGGTTTCAGTCCACACTCAGTTGGCTCCAAGGCAGGCGGGCATGGCTGGGCCGCAGTTCATGGCGGCTGCAAACAGCAAGCTGGAACCAGCAAAGAGCAAGACACCTTCTTCCTGCCATTACATCACATCCTGGCTCCACCCCTATGTGGGTAGAGCACTGACACCATCAATCCAAGCACTATACAATGAACTATCACAAACAATGCAAACTCATGAGGCCTGGGGGCCATAGACATAAACCATGACACCTTGAAACACTTTGATCTTTATTCCTTGATAGTTTATCCTCTGCTATTTGCTTTTAAAGGTATGAAATTAGAAAAGATGCATTTGGGTCACAAGAGTTTGTGTCCCTACCAGTCTCTTGACTAGGTCATTGTATCCTTAGTTATTAATTTGATGAAGATTTTCAGGGCTCCCCTCTGACAAGTAACGAACAAGTAAACAGTTCAGTTTACCAGGGCTTTTTCTCTAAACTTTTGGTTCATAAAGTGTACAGTAATATCTGACCTACAGCAACTCCAAAATTGTCATTCTTCTCTTTCTGGTACATTAACAGTACACCTCTTGAGATACTGCAGATTTCACTGCAGATTACTACAGTAAAGCAAATATCACAATAATGTGAGTCACAATTTTTCTTTGTTCTGTAGTGTTTATAAAACTTATATTTTTACCATCCCTTAATAGCCTAGTAGCATCACATATAAAAAAAGTTTCAAAACTTTAATTGCTAAAGAATGGTAACAGTCTGACACTCCACCAAGTCCTAGTCTTTCTGCTGGTAGAGGCTCTTGCCATCAACAAGTGGCTTCCATGTAGTAAAGGTTGGGGTGGCTGTGGTTGTGGCTATTTCTTTAAAAGCTGACAAGAGTGAGTTTTGCTGCATTGATTAACTATTTTACAAGAGTTCTGCATGGCTTATGATGTTGTTTAATAACCTTTTACTCATAGTCAAATTTTCCAAATTGAAGCTAGTCCTCTCAGAGAACCTACTTTTGCTTATCAACTAAGTTTATATAATATAATATTCTGTCTTATCATAATAGCAGCAGTATTCCCAGGTTCTTTACTTTAAAAAAAAAAAAAAAAGCACCTAGTTGAGCATCTTGGTGCACAGCTGTAACCCCAGCACTGAGGGAGGATTAAATAGGAATAAAATTGAACGTTTGAGCCTTCCCTAGATAACTTAGTTCTTAGTGAGAGCCTGCCCCCAAATTTTAAAAATGGTGCAGATTATATAACTCAATTCAGAAGCCCTGTGTTGAATCCCTAGTATAGGGGCAGCAGGGTCAGGGGAGAGAGGTACTTAACAGTTTTACCATGAGATTGTAGCAGTTCAGTGACATCTTCAGTTTCTTTTTGTAATTCTAGTTCTTTTGCTATTTCTGCTGTTATTTCCTTCACTGAACTCTTTAATTTTTCAAAGTCATTCATGAAGAGGGAATCACCTCCTTCCAAACTCCTTTTAGTATTGGTATTTGACCCTTTCCATGAATCACAATGTTCTTAATTGCATTGATAATGGTGAATCCTTTCTATAAGGTCTGGTGGCACATGCTTGTAAGCCCAGCTGATTAGGAGGATAAGTCAGGACTTTGGCAAGTAAGAGAGTGTCTCAAAATAAAAAGAACTGGTGACACACCTCTACATTCCCTTGTTTCATTCCCTAGTACCACCACAAAAAAAGAACGTTGAAAGTACTCTTTTGATTCATGGATGACAGAATGGATTTTGTGTTAGCTGTCTTGAAAACAATATTGTTCTCATTTCCTTCAGAGACCTTGGTAGATATTTTGAAATTTTTTTTTTCTTTCCTGTTCAGTGAGTCTCAAAGGTGGGCTTTAATAATCAGTAAACCATGTCACAACCAGATGTTCTGGGGCTGGGGATTTAGCTCAGCGGCATAAGCACCTGCCTTGCAAGCAGGCGGTCATGAGTTCAATCCCCGGTACCGATAAAAAGAAAAAAGACAAAAAAAAAAAAACCAGATGTTCTGTCTTTGTTATTCTGTTCATAGCACATGGCAGAGCAGAGATGGTATGATTCTTAAGAGCTATAGGAGTTTCAGCATGGTGAATGAGATTTGCCTTCAGCTTGAAGTAAACCAGCTGCCTTAACCTCTAACAGAAAGTGGATCTGCCTTTTGAAGCCAGGCATTGATTTCTCTGGCAATGAAATCCTAAATGTCATCTTCCCATAGAAGGGTGTTTGACCTACCCTGAAAATTTGTTTCATGTAACCATTTCCATTAATGACATTAGCTACATCTTTGGGGTAACTTATTGCAGCATTTGCAATCTACTCAGCATTTACTGATTCAGCTGTACTTTGGTGTTTCAGTGGCAACTTCTTTCAGCCTCATTCTTTTATCTTCAAACTTTGCTTCTACATTTTCCTCACTTCTCTCAGTCTTCCTAGAATTGAAGAGAGTAAGGCCCTTGCTTTGAATTGCTTAATGAATCTGGGAAGGACAGTAAAGTGAAACCAAAAAAGATGAGACTACTTACAGTAAAGTGAAACCAAAAAGGATGAGACTACTTACAGTAAAGTGAAACCAAAAAAGATGAGACTACTTACTTTAAATGTAGTTTGAGAAGTAAGCATTAAGAGGAATACAGAAACAGCTAATCCTGTCTGTAGTGATGAAATCAGTATCTGTGCAGCTTTGGTGGTATTAAGAGACTGGCCACAGTGAACATGGTTTAGTAGATTTGGAACTGGATCATATATTAGTCAGGAAAATAAGCCACAACAGCTGTTTTGTCCCTGAGTTGTTATCAGGTAGTGGGGACTCAAAAGCCAATACCTGATGAACTTGGCAGGGCACTAAGTATGCAAAGTTAGTGATGTTGGGGTAGCGGCCACCAAGCCTGGGGTTAACCTTAGACCTGTTAGAGCCTAGTAACTTGAGGGGGTAGGCAGCATGCAGAGCTCCTTCTAACATGGAAATGTCTTTGCTTTGATTAGAATTCATTCGTCATGGTTCCTAGAGGAGGTAGGCAGAGGGTCCATGGTTACTGTTTAGCACAAAAGGTGAAGGATGCAAGTTCACCATTCTAATTTAGTTACACTATCTTCAACAAAACTGCTTGTGGTCATTTACAAATAAAAGAAACAAGTTTAATTCTTCTCCCCCAAGTTATATAGTAAAAGATTTGGAAAACCTTTGTGTTCAGTTGAAATGATAAGAGATAAAAAGAAAATGACAAGTTGAAATTCATGGGTGGCTTGTTTAGATCACATGCGCATTCAGGGCAGTGGAAATGTCTGGGCAACCTACATGACATTGCCACTTAATAAATAATTATTTATCTGTACTGTTATGAATCAAATTTTTACATGATATAGAAAGGTCTGATTTTAAGAGTAGAAATGCAGAACACTGTTATAAAGAAATAGATGGCTATATATAGTATTTGAAGTTTATAGACCTTTGTCTTGCCATTATGGTAAGAGTCATTCATTCAGTGACATTAAGGCTGAAGGAGGTAAGGGAGAGCAGAACAGATTCTTTAGGGTCTTTCAAATTTTAATGATAAATACACATTTAATAAAATTTACTACTTTAAATAACTCATACAATTTGATAACAGATTTTACATCTTGTTCATGTGTTCATATCTTAAAGATTCTTTATAACTACTGTATAAATTCTTTAATACATTTTTAAAATTTACTTTATCTGTACATCAGGTTTAATCCTTTACTATAAACTTCATAGTTGTTTTGCTTACTCTTTTTAAAGTTGAGCTTTTAGAATCAAAATTCACTATTGAAAGTTTGCAAAGTAATAGACTGAATTGATCCATTCTTTGAATATGTGAGTACGAACATGTGGTTACTAAGTTTTCCAAGTGAGAAGAAAATAATCTGCTTTCCTGTCCTCTAGGAAAAATTCCTTTGGCTATCGGAAGAAAAGGGAGGAGAAGTTTGCAGTGAGTATATAAAGTGTATATCATTTTTACAAGTCATGTAACTCTTTAATTCTGAGTAAACATGGAAGTTTATTAAATGGATAAAGGCTAAGACGTAAGAAGGAACATTTCAAAAGACTTTTAATGTGATATCCATAAGTAATAACTGACATTTGTAGCACTCTAAAGAGGAAGAAAATGTGGAATTTTTAGAAATTGATTATTAATTGGTCTCAGCGCTATTGCATAGTACATAGATAATGTGCTGTAAAATATAGGCAGCTAAGAGTTATTCTGGAACGTACTGTATGCTACATGGGTCTCTGCATTAGTTCTTCAATGTGAGTAACTGTTAAACAGTGTAAAACATAGGAGATCCTTACCTTTTATCCATGGGAGACATTCTAAAAATGTTCTGATGCTTCCAGTCGATGCCTGAAACAGTAGATGGTACCAAACCCTGAAATGTAATGTCTTTTTCGTCTTATCTATGCTCGTAATACATACTATGCTTATAACATTTGTAGTTTGAACAACAAAACTAGCAGAAAAGTCTTTTTCTTCCTTCTCAAACTTGTGGATAGAATACTCATTCTTACTGTAGATCTTAGCAGCTTCAACACAAAGGCTTTCTTAAGCCAAGAGCTTTCACCATTTACTTTTGTGGCTTCTCTTCAACACATTTGAATTGCCAACCTCACTGATTTTGCACTTTAGAACCTTTATTAAGTAAAACAAGAGTTACTGACACATAAGCACAGCAGTACCACACAGTTGAGCTGATCCTGAAAAGGGCTACCAAGTGACTAAGGAGTGGATAGCATGTACAGGAAGGGTACCCTGGGCAAAGGAGTGATTCTCATCTTAAGCAGGATGATACAAGGTTACATCATGGTACTTAGAACAGCACACAGTGTAAAACTTAGGATTTATTTCTCAAATTTTCTTTAGTATTTTGGCTACAGGCAATTAAAACTACAGAAAACAAAACTGCCAATAAGTGGGTACCACTATAACTGGAGCCATTTGTTTTGTCAAGCTTAACTAGCTTCCTATATGTGGGAATTTGTTCATCTTTTTCATGGAAAACATCATCTCTCTACCATATACAAAACATTATTTGCCTTCCACCATAATTTAAGCACAGAATAAACTAAAAAATAAGTCATACATTTATGTGCGTGTTGAGTAAGACATGGTTGAGGCTGAAACTTCAGCACAACTGATGGAGGATTAAAGTGGCTGAATCAGCAATAAGCATAAAAACACCCAGTGAAGTCTTTAAGGAAGTTACCCAGTAGACTTACAAGCATAGAATTCCACACTTGGAAACCTGGAAAATGCCTTGCAAAAATTCTTGGTTCAGCCCTGTGAGCCATCATGTATGTGTTTTCTCATCACAAAGGCGCATTCTCTGTGTTTAGAACTCAGAAATTCTCTTTTTACCAAGGTCCATTTGTTCTAGTTTTGCCTAACCCATTGGTAAGGCCAGTTTATACTGGTTCATTCCATTTGGAATTAGTGGTTCCCTATGATCATTTAGACTAACAAGGCTGTTGTCTGCGTCTCTGTTATAAGATGTGTCACATTGATGCCTGCTGGGAAACAATCCCACTGCCATTTCTGATGCATTTTGTTTTGTTTTTCTTGTTTTTGTACTGATGACCCACTTGGAACAGTGATGGCAAACCTTTTAGAGCTTTTAGTAGCAAACAGCCTGCTGCTGAATGTGTGCCATAGATTCACCAACACTGACTTAGAAAATTGTAGAAATATGACTCAAGTGTTAAATTTTGTAATAGAGAATAATACTGATTGTGTCTAGATGGGGCAAAAAAGATTACAGGCAGGTAACAAATATAAGAACATACTGATTCAACTACTAACAGCATTTATGCCTAAAGGTATTCAAATTCCAAAATATGAGTACTATACCTTCAAAATAAAACTCAACTTGTAGGTCCTACCATTTCCCAACTCCAGAATATTACTTAACTTCCTTTTCTTTGAAAACAGAATTCAGTAACTTTTTGTGGTGGCTGTCTCCTGAAAGAATATAGACACATGCAGATCTTTTAAATAAAACCTCTAAAACTATCTTGGAAGTCATAGTGTCTGTGTATAATTGAGCAATATGGTAGATTGAATTTTGTTCATTATGATAGGTTATAGAGTGCATACAACTGCCAGATGCTTAATAGGCCCAAGTCTAATTTTGAGCTCACACAGCTGAGGAAAATTAACCTAACAGCAGACACCTGAAACCAATTCTAAAGTCAAGAAACAGACAAGGATGCCCAAAAGTGGGATTTTGGTTAGCCATTTTTGTCCTTTAACATGCTCTTGCTTGAGTTCTCACATATTCTCTAGAATCTGCTCAGGTAGGGAATAATCCTCTCAGCAGAGATTCTGGGAGATGTTAGCTCTTTCAAGTCAGGTGGACCTCAGGGATTATTGGGGCTTTATTTCCAGGCTTTTTTGAGGCTGCTGTGGGAAGCAAGTGGTTCTTTGCTTTATTCATGCTGTCTCTCTCCATGCCTGTATGACTTTTATGGGGTTTCATTGTGTTTCAGAGCAGCCAGACTCAGTCTCCAACACCACCAAAGCCTCCATCACCAAGCTTCGAACTAGGGCTGTCCAACTTCCCCCCATTACCTGGAGCCGCAGGGAATTTGAAGACAGAAGACTTGTTTGAAAACAGACTTTCTAGCTTGATAATAGGATCATCAAAAGAAAGAGTAAGATTTATATTACAATTTTAACAGTTGCTGATATTTACTAAACTTATTTTGACCGGGGACTTTGAATATTCATAACAGGTTTGGCAAGTTAAGTAATTTGCAAGAGGCACACAGATAGGAAGTGGTAAGGTCAGTGTTGAAGCCAGAGCCAGGCTTTCTGTTCCCTTGCTGACTGCCAAAGTCAGGTGGAGCTTGTGCCATGATGTACTGGATACACTCACACAGACACTTAGATTGCTCTTTCATTGTTGTTAAGATCTCCTTTATTTCACAACAGAATGAAAGAAAAACCTGTATTATACTGGAAGTAATATGATATAATCTACATGAGATGAGTAGCAAGAACCTTGTATCACTTTGCTACCATGTGGTGGCTTTGGGTAAACTTTGTAGGTTACCACCCACGATGTTTTTAATGTGGCAGTCATCATCCCAGGAATCAGCCAGAGCTGCTTAAGTCAAAGGAAGCTGCTTCCTATTGTTTTTCTAATGTAACTAATGGGTGCAAGGTAGGATTTATCCCATTACAAAGATCAATGTTTGAAGGCTCTAGGAAAGTATAAAGAAATGGCTTTCTGCCTAGTAATTAGTGATGGATGCATAAGCATCCCTGGGAGAGCTTGTGGAGCAGTGTTGGTTATAGACATTCCTTATTACTGCCCTGCAGTTCTCAACTATATTTGTACCTCAGAATCATCCATATGTCTTCTTCTAGTATAAGTCATCACAACTACCCTTTCTAACTGTCCCCTAATCTGTAGTCAGGATCTCCATTTTTCTCTGGATTTGGGGAAAAGATACTGTTTAACAATCTTAAGTTCAGTACTGCTGTAGTGGATACATTAGTTCTTAGTTATTAGAGCAGTTTACATGGATTTTGCTATAGTATTTTAAGACTAAGGTCAAGTGAAATGTTTAGTCCTTTTCATATTGATTGGTGGTAATTGCTCCTATTTTTTAGTTTTGTGCATGTATTACAAGATGCTGTTTTTTTCCTAGTAAAGGTTATATGTTAGATTTGGCATGTTTTATAAGTTAGTCTAAGACTTATATTTCCATGCAATAATTACTTTCCTCCCTGGTTAAATTGGAAGCATTAATACACCTGCTTCTAAGGGTTGTTTGTGAATTCAGGTGAGAACTCCTATTAATGTCTACCACCTACCACTAGGTACTCAAATTTATATAGTAATAGAGGTATCAATTTACTTACTTTGTTTACAGGAATGAGTCATACTGAACTATGTTAGGAATTCTACATCTAGTAGATACTTGAGTGTTTGTTACATGCCAGGATGTGGCAAGCTCTGAAGTTCCAGATGAATGAGATGTGTTTGGCTAGTCAGTTGAGAAAACAAGCTTGCAGATAATTATGATAGAAATGCAGAAGAGAGACGGGCATAAGCCTGATTCTGTATTGCTCAGAGAAAGAAGGGTGAACACTCTGTTAGCAAAGGACAGGTGTGGAATCTTTTGAATGTTTTTGTTGGAAAAGACTGTCTTTTCCTATGTCCTCATGCTGAGGCTTAGCAGTTTTCAGTGGGGTTCTGCAGTTTTCAGGTGTATGGTGGACACATAGCTCCATTCAGCACTGGTCAGAGTCCAGCCTTCTGAGTCCCTACGAGAAGAAGCAGGCTCTTATAGAGAAAAAGGAGCCCTAAAATGGCTATACTTTGGTTCAAGTAAGGGGCAGAGTGGGGATTTTCCAGTAAACATCAAGATTTCAGTTTGGGCACACCTCATTGGTGTCAGTGTAAATAATTTATATAATCAGTACACATGGCTACTGTTGTATAGTTTGGTATAAATGTAAACTGTGACATGGGCTGGCAATAGACTAAGCAACTGAGGAATTCTGTGAGAATGCATGGGTAGGCTTGATGACTGTGCCACATGAGAATAAAGGCATAGTAAGACATTTTTCCAAGACTCTGTCATCTTCACTCTCAAGTGAACCTCTCCAGTCTGAACTGGTGACAAGATATCTTTGCAGTTCTGTTTGAAGTTTGTTTGTATTAGGTGTAGATCCTTACCTTCTTTGGCAAAGATTTGACAAGTGCTACTTTCTTTATCCTGTCATAAATTACTATGGTGATGATTTTCAGAGCGTCAATGCAGATGCAAGTACAAACACTATTTCTGCAGTGGTCCCAAGAGAGTCCTCCATGCCGGCTTCCTGTGCTGTATCAGCAACATATGAACGATCCCCTTCCCCAGCCCATGTACCTGAGTGAGTATTGATGTTGTACCAACACACTCTGCTGCTTGCAAATTTGACCTATAAAGTTGGACAAGATTCTCAGACTGGGTGGCATTTTTACAGGGATCCCAAGGTGGTAGAAAAGCAGAGGGAAACCCATAGTGTGGACAGACTCCCTTCTGCCGTTACTACAAGCACATGTAAATCGGTGCAGGTGAATGGAGCTACCACAGTAAGTACCTTGCACTTGTCTTCCTCTATAATGGTCACTGAGGCGCTGGTGTAGTAAAAAGACACAGGGCTATCCTTATGCATTGGCTCATTTTTTTTTTTTAAATCCAAATCTAATTTGACCGGATCTGAGTATGTTGTATTTTCTGTATACAGTGCCCTGTTTGCTAATGATTTTCCACCAACTACTCTTTGTCATTTTATTGTAACACAATCTTAGAATCCTTCTATTTCAGTGTGAGTGGTTAATCATTTCTTGATTAAAAACAAGACCCCAACTTCTGTTCTTCCATAGAATATGTGGTCAGTCGAGCATTTATTCTAAGTTTGTGTTATTGTTTAACATAAAATTAAGCAGAACAGCTAAAAGGAGCAAGATGGGTAGCCTTTTACCCTGTGAGTCCAGTTGACTCTGAATCCCAGTGACTCATCCTATCTGGTGGTATTTGTCTTTGGTGAATCAGCTTCTCTGGCTCTGATTTGTATCATCTTCAATTTAATCTTGAGTGAGCCATTATCACTAAGATTGCAGAAGTAAGGCCTTAACCCACTGGATTGAGTCCAAATTAAGATACTCTTGTAGTTTAGAATTACTAAGTTTACAAATGGTTTTTGTTGAAACTTTTTGTTGTTGTTATTTAGTCCCAAATACCTGAAATCCTGTTACGCTTTATTTTTTGAAGCTTTGTCTGCACTGTTTTGTATCGAAGCAAGCAGACCAAGAGAAAACAGTGTTTGTCTTTCTAGAGTCTTAGGCGTCCATGTTGCCCAAGAATGCTTAAGGCTGCATGTTGGCAGAGTTCAGTCAGCACCTGTATCTTCCTGTTTTAAGAACTATTTCTAGCATATCCTGGTGGGAAAATTGTATTGCAGAGAGGCCAAATCATTGATTTTTATGAACTTGAAAAGTAAAAATCCCAGTAAAGATGGAAATTTATTCAGAATTGAACCTTAGCTCATTTTTGTCTTCGTTTTTCCATGTCATCCCTGGAGACATCATTTTTGCATATAATCCCATGTTTGTTTCCAGGAATTACGAAAGCCCAGTTATGCAGAGATTTGTCAGAGAACGAGTAAAGATCCTCCTGCTTCCCCACTGCAACCACAAAAGGAACAAAAGCCAAACACTGTCAGTTGTGGAAAGGAGGAAAAGAAGCTGGCTGAGCCCGTGGAGAGATACAGGGAGCCCCCTACCCTCAAGTCCACTCCTGGAGTTCCCAAAGACCAGAGGAGGCAGCCTGGTCGCCGACCCTCACCCCCAGCTGTTGGGAAGCGTCTCAGCAGAGAACAGAACACTCCCCCAAAGTCTCCTCAGTGAAAACCGTATGCCTGGGAGGGGTCACAAAGAGCTGTGTTAATCACAAAGAAACTCTTCCCACTCAGTACGAGAATGAGTTGCTGGTTAGGAGCTTGCAGTGTTTGAGGCCCATGGGATGCCTGCAAGTTATTTTTCTGTGAGGCAGATTGTCCCCCTCTTGAGAAAAATCTATTTTTAAGGATTTAATTAATATAAACCTTATTTTAGGTTGGTGCTTAACCGGAGGTGATGCATAAGTCTGATTTTTTTCAGGATAGAAAATGCATTTATCTTAACGAATTGATATTTTTTATTAAGCCTCCACATGGCTCTGAATGCAAGCTATACATAGTGAGTTTTTCTAAATTAAAGGAACTATTTTTTTCTTTCTTCCTTTTTTTTTTTAATACCTGGTCTGCAAGTGCATATCTTTAGGTGTCCCAGCAGTTGGATGAAGGCTGATGGTGCTGGCAGGGCAGCCTCAACCTTGCAAAGGAAGAAGCTGGCAATGTCAGGGCACCGAGACACTGGCATGGGAGCTTTGTTCTCATCTGAGCCTTTAGCAGGGCTTATATATACATAGTCATTTTTTGATCCTGGTAGACAGAATGAACCTGTGGAGAGCACCCTAGAAAGATCAAATACCTTTGAGTTTTGATGTACTGCAAGCAAGTAACCAGCTTCTCACTCCAGTTTCAAGTGGCTATTGTGTAAAATAAATTCAAAGCACATTGTGAATAGAACTTAAATGAAGATACAAACTTTGTTGCCCACTGACATTTTGCCACAAAGTTAAGCCACAATATTACAATGTTGTTTTGATCCCTGCAAGCAGGCTGCCTGGCTCAGGCTTGGTGTGCCTACTTCTGGCACATTTCTATCCATGTCCTCCTACCCCGGCCCATCCCTGCACTCTCAGAGAGAGTCCACAATCTTAGTCAGCTCCATGTGGAGTCTTCCTGTACCTCTGCGTCAGCACATGGATTGAAAAGTATGCAGCCATGAGAGAATGGTATTCGTAGTTTTTTTCCCTCTTTGGCTGGAGGACAGAAATTCCTGCTCTTTTTACCTCTAAGACGAGGGTCTCATTGATTCACTTCTAGAAGTGCTATGCTTCTGAAGAACAAGGATGCACTAAAGTTAGCAAGTTTATAATAAAGTTAAATATAAATTATTTTGTTTTAAAATGCCTAAAATTTTTGTTTTTTTAAGTATTCTAAGCAGCAGACATGAAAATATTTCCTGCTAAATATAACCATACAGTTTATTCCACAAAATGTTATTTAACAAGACTGAGGGTTTTTTTAAAAAAAAATTTATTTCCATCCAATATTTAAAGACTTGAATTTTATTTAAACTTGAAAATGACTTTGCCTTAACTTTTGTATAAGACAGCTTAGAGCTCATGGAGACTGGCCCCTGGGTTGGCAGGAGTGGATCAGAGTTACTCAGTTACCGTGTGGATCTCTTTGTCGTTAGTTTTGCTGAGTAAGCATACTGTAGTGCAAGAACTAGCAGTAGTTTTTGTAATATACTTAAAGATCTTCAACAGTTGATCTTTTTTCAGATTGTTGAAAAATCCTGTAAATGCAAATAGTCAATACTGTATTAAATATGTGCACTTGGGAGTGTGCTTTGCCTGTACATTTGTAAATAATCAGAACATATTAAAAGGTACCCTACAGAGAAAAATCTGATAAAAATTATTGATATATTATAAATGTTGCTGTTGAGCTGGATGTAGATAAACTAAATGTTGTGGTTTGAATATTTTAATTTGTTGAGGTGTTTTTTTTTTTTTTCTCTCTCTCTCATACTGGTATGTTGAACTGATTCTGCCTCTGCTGCAAAAGGGAAACGGAAAGTCTTATTAAAAGCCTTTAGATGTTTTCATACTTTAAAAAACATAAATTCATACATACCTAATGTGAAAGTATTTTAAAACATAATATAAAAAGCAGAAACTGGCAGGCTCTTAAGTGAAAGTTTAAAAAAATCTGCTAATTAAAAGTACATACTTCTAAGTGTGATTTATCCTGCCAGAGGAAATCATACATGCCTGATATATTTGACCATTTCCATTGGTACAATTGTCATTATTCAGATACGTATAATACTAATATGGTTCATATGCCTCTTAAAGGAACATGAGAATTATTTTCTTTTTAACTGTCAAATTGCTGGGCCAAAAGAAAAAGAAGTAATTGATTTCTTCACCTTATAGATACTGTGAAAGCTGAAAAGGCGAGCTCTGAGTGCCAGGGTCCTTTGCGGAACATTTCTGCTGGAGGAGAGGCCAGGGCACTGTCAGCCGTTCTCATCCCCAAGTCACAACACCCACAGGGTGCATCCTTGGTTTTTAATAACAAACAATCCTTTCCCTAAGGTGAGAGTATTGCAGCGTGAGGTGTGGGCGGTTAGAGCCAGCTGTAGATGCTCGCTTTTGTTTGTTGGCCAAAGGTGTCAAGCTCAGCAGCTGCACACCAGAGAGCAGGTGGGCACATGGAGTACCAGTCATCATGGGAGGTGCTGTTCTGGGGCCCTGCTGCCATCTGGATGAGGTCAATACACTGTAGTACTGCTTAGCCAGGGAGAGTCTGGCAGCAAGAGCTGAAACCTTGCTCAGATGTGATTTTTAAAGCACTCTTTTTAATTAAGCAAAGATAATATGCCAAAATGCCATATACAATGTCAAAAACAAAAAATCTTTCTATTAATTACTTTGAGATTTTCCACTCAGGAAAAAAAATAGGAGTTATCACAATAGAAAGCTGTGAGGGCGCATGCAGACTGTTGCTGTGTCACATATAGCTAATGACGTGTGGCTTTCATACTTTTTTAAAAAAGTTTACTCATTCCTTTCAGCAGTATCTCAGTTTATCAGTTTAGAGGTACAGCAGTCACATGACATTTTTAACTTGTAAAATTGTGTGATGATACTTATCATTTGGAAATATAGAAATAAGAATCTGGCCCATGTCACCAGACATGAATTTTTGAGTAGTTGCTCTCTAAGAGTTGGTGTCATGATGTGTCTGATCAGTCCCTCCTGTCACTGCATCACTGGGTTGCCACTACTGGGTGGCACAAAAAAAAAAAAAAAAAAAAAAGTTAAAAACGTTTTTTAAAAAAGTCTTATGTTGCTGTATTAGAATTTCTGCAGTTTACATTTAAAAACTGGTTCAGTGTATCACAGCAGGTGACTAATGGTGCATACCTGTCTTTGTGTCCCCTTCAGTGAGCTGTAGTCGTGGGTTTTGTGTGCTTTGTAGCCTGTTACACGGAAAGCAGCAGACAATCGAAGATTGAAGGAGCACTAGCCGCTGCCGAGTCACAGAGTGGGAGTGTAATATGGAAGCATTTTTGAGGGGTTTTGTTTTGTTTTACTTCTTTTCATTAAGACTGGAATCAAGCTTATGTGTAAACTATTGGTAATTTAAGTTTCCTTTTGTGTCATTCAGTGTAAACCTGTCTAATTTGAAAAAAATGTAGGATATGAAAAAATAAAGATTTAGGCACTGTTCAGTTTTTCTTTTGATTTTTTTAATTAAAATATTCTTTGAGAATGTGTCTTTTTTTTTAATGATCTTTTTTCCTTCTGTTTCCATTAGTGTGTGTGAGAAAAATACATGGCTGCGTCCACACTTTGTTTGACTTACAAAGGCCTCACAGGCCCACGTGTAAATTGACATAGCATAAGGATTTTACTCCCTTTGTTCAGGTATGCAGAGTGTTTATTATAATCAAGTGTTCATGGAGATACTCAGCCCAAGATTACCACAAAAATGACCCTGGGTTAAGATTCCTAATTCTTTCGTTAAAATGGCAATGCCTCTCCTACTGTGTCACTATCAGAGTTGATGTCACCATGATTTTCAGATCATAAAAAAGTCATATCTCAAAAGCAGAGTAGCTGATTTACCCATAATACGGGTGATGCCAGCGCATGTAAAAGACTACAGATGGCCAAACTTGGTGGTATGTTCTTAATATAGTGGACAGAGAACTTGATGCAGATGTTGGTTTTTCTTCTGCTGTGAACTGCCTTTTTGTGTGTATGTTTCCCATTTTTCTATTGGATTCTTTTTTAAATTGATTATTATCTGTTCTGGGTTTTAATCCTTTGTTACATATTACAAATATTTTCAATCTACCAGTTGTCTTAGCTTTATTTATAGTATCTTTTATAGTTTTTAATATATAGTAAAACTTATCAACCTCCTATGATTTGAGTCTTGGTCTCGTTTAAGAAGTCTAGATGGTACTTTATTTACATTTGTCTTTAATCCAGCTGGAATTTTGATTGTGTATATGTGTGTAAACCTAAGGTAGGGACCCAGTTTTACCTTTTGCCATATGGAAAATTCTTTTCCACTATCACTGGTTATTTCTCCACTGTCAGTAATACCACTCTTCGTTACCTGAGAGTAACCACCACCTACCTATGTGCCTGGATCTTTGTCTGGGAACTCTATTCTTTTGTGTCTGTATTTTGTTTCTGTACATGTTGATATTACAGTGTTTAATTCACTGATCATTCTGCATTTCTTGGTAGAATTTGTGGTTGTGATTGTGTTCTATGAGTTATGCCCATCTGAAACACCATCACATCTCCTGTCTTTAATACGCTGTGTGCAGTATAGTACATGCGCAATAAATATTTTCAGTACAGTATTTGCTGGTTACACATTCTTTGTACACAGTGCTGTCCTCAAAAATGTCTTACAGGCTGTGGTTTCGATTCACTGTTGCCACATAACAAACCATTCCAAAATTTGGTGGGTTAAAATGACATGTCTGAAGATCGGGCTGCGGGACTCGTTGGGGTGGCTCTGCTGAGGTTGCATGTCTAGGGCAGCAGGAAAACCAAAGTCTTCAGGCTAGGGGAAATTTGCAAGAACCAAATCTTAAATGTTCACATCTTTCTCCCTTTCTTCATCCTGGTTGAGCTGTGGAAAAATAAGAGAAAGAAGAGCATGTCAGATGTTCAGATGGCTTAGCCAGAGACTATACCGTTCAGTTGTCAGTGGTTAGAGAACTTGGATTCTCCTAAGTCAAGAGTAACAGGTATGCAGTAGCTGGATAGGTTGAACCAGGCTTCAGCAAGGTGGCAGTGCAGTGAGGATCATGGGCAGGGTTGAGAGGTGCTCACAAGTCTGGCAGGGGCCAGGTGTCTAGGTAAGGGCCTGGGATCAATTCCCAGTACTTAAACAAACAAAACAAAAAAAATTAGAGGTATGTCCTGGAGCCACCATGGGCACAAACACTGATGAAGGTTCTCTATATTGTGACTTGATACTGACCATAGTCCTGCATCACATAGTCTGTAATTTCTTTGTGACCTATGATGTGTCCAAGTACTGAAGAGTTGGGTTTGCTATGTCTTAGTCAAAGGAATTGAATAATGAAGCCAGGGGACTGGCAGAGATTTGATGAGATGCTGGAAGAACAGCCTTTTGAGCTCTCCCCTTCCACATTCACCCTTAAAAACTTCCCCTCCTCTCTTCCCACTTTTCATTCTCCCCACCTCTTTTGAACTGTGTCTAGTGTGGTAACTGTCAAGGCCTGCCTGCTCTGTTCCTGGACTTCTGCCCCAGGAGTGCACAGGCATAGCTCAGGCTGTCAGCTGTCGCTGGACCAACTTGAATCCACCCAGTATAGTGCCTGCCACTTTTGAGACAAGAGGAAATGACTAAATAGAATGGATTGTGAGATTCCTTGATGTAGCAACTAGAATTGGAAAAGAGCTTGATGCCTGGTGACTTAGCAGCGGTGAAGATGCTTCCTGCAAGCACCTTGTTCTGCAGCTATTGCTACCAATGCCACTGAAGATACCAAGAGAAACCATTTTCCTAGGACAAGGTTCTACATTCACCATGGGCCTAATACGCAACAATAAACTACATAGATTCCTTTCTGCCGACTCACACCTGCCACAAACACAGAGCCCTGTCATTATTCATGCAGCACAGTAGCCAAGACTTTATGCCCAAGAGAGAGATGGCTTTGGCTGATAAGCAGTGGAGTCACCGGAGGTAAAACAAGCAGCCCTCACAGGAACTCCAAGGCTGACATCCCAGTCGGGTCAGCACAACCAGAAGCTGAAAATCCTTTATTGTTTTCCTGTCTTCTGCTTGCTTTAGGTTTATTGTATTGTTCTTTTTGTGTTTTCTTGAGACAAGAACTTACATTATGGATTTGGTACTTTGAGCCAAGGCTGGTGGTGCACACTTGAAGTTCTAGCACAGAAGAGCTTGAGGGAGGAAAGTCCCAAGTTCAAGTACAGCTCGGACAACTTAAGCAAGACCCTTTCTCGAGAAATATTTTTTTAAAAAAGTTAAAAATAACAATGCAAAGGGCCTGGGTTCTCAATCCCCTTTACCAAAAAAAAAAAAAAAAAAAAGTACTATAAATTCCTCCTGGGATCTAGATCTATATATTCTTTAGATTTCCTTTGTGATTTGGTTGACTCAGATTATTTAGAAATAATGTAATAATGTTCCTTAATTTCTAAATGGAGATGTTCTGTTAGTGATTTCTAATGTGAACACTGATTTCATTTCTCTTTTTCCCTTCTGAGACAGTGTCTCACTGTGTGCTTCAGGCTGCTCTTAAACTGTATAGCCCAAGTTGACCTCAGACTTGCAGCAATCCTCCTGCCTCAGCTTCTCGAGTGCATGGTGTGCACCACCATGCCCAGTATTGATATAATTTCTCTTAAATATTCTAAAGTTTGTTTTATGTGTCTGATGTGGTTACCTTGATAAATGTTTTATAAATGTGCTTATGTGCTCTTGATTGAGAAGGTTGTTTTATATCCCTGCTGAATTTCTGTCTCATCCTATTAATAGTTGTGAAATCTCTAACTGTAATAATAGATATGTGTTTTGCTGTTTTTCTTTCCAGCTCAATTAGTTTTTGCTTTGTGTATTAAAATTCAGTTATTTAAGTGAATGCATGTTTAGAATTGTTGTGTCTTCTTGCTGAGCTGATTGTTCTATCCATGGACGTTCATAATTCTGTTGTGAAGGTTTACTTTATTATACTCATTTCTACTTCTCTTATTACTGTATGATATTTTCCACTCTTACTTTCGATCCACCTGCATAGTGGGAGTTGCTTGTAATGTACAGCTGTGTTGTGTCTTTAAATCCATTCTGCCAGTCTTTCTTCACTGGTGTGGATAGGCCATTTGTATTTTATTGATATTTTAGGCTTACCTTTACTGTTTGTTCATTTGTTCTCTGTTAGTCTGTTTCCTTTTTCTTCCCTTCCTGGGGTTATAATTTGCTGATTCTTGTTTCTCAACATAAGTCATAGAAAAAAAAGGAACATGGCGCTCTGCCCACCAGGTTACTTGTGCCACGAAGGCTCCTAGGTGTAGCCTGCCACACGTGTGTGCTGCTTGCAGTGCTCTAAACAAGATCCTCAAAACCTGGTTGCCTGTTTTCACATGGGGTTTGCACAGTGCCGACATGCCATGACAGTTCAGAAAATTCAGTGAACTTCAGCAAGTGTTGGGGAGCACATTTACTCTGTGCCCCAGCCCACAGTGTTCAGGTGCTTCCACAAACTACCATACTGAGTGAGCCAAGCAGTCTGAGTCGTTTCATTTTGAGTCTCAGGTATTCTATTCCTTTGGCCACTGGCCTTGTAACCAGATGCAGGTCAGCAAGATATTTGAGTTTCCGAATCTTTGTCTTCTATGGTAACCATAGAAAAGGCCCTCCTACTGCTGCGTCATTTGGGTTTACAGAATTGGACCGTGAAAAGTAAGTGGTTCCATCCTTGCTAGGAAGGCAGCCATCTGGCGAGCAAGAGATGGCATCAGACAGCACTTGGGGAATCACAGGAGTGGACCTAGTAATAGCAACCTCTGTGTACTCAGTCCTTAAGCCAGAACAGCCTCCAAAGTCTTGAGGTATATATTCTTAGCAGCCACCTTTTAGGCTTACAACACTTTGTAGTGGACTTGTTTGTAACTAACATGTTTTTAAAAGAAATAACTAAATGAGACAATGCATGTCAAGTGTTTGGCACAGTCTCTGACATGATTGCCTAATAAATTTTATTATGGGGACTGTCCATGGCAAAAGCTAAGTGGGTTTTATGTGTTAGCTCTAGCATGTGGTACCAAAGGCCTTTTCTAAATGGGAGTAGATGGAGTGTGACTCATAGGCAGATGCTGTATCCTACCTAGGTTACCAGTCGGTACCTGTGAGAAGGGAGCAGGAGACTCCTCGTCTGGATCTGAAGCTGAGCTGTGGAGATGTTGGGCTTTGATGAGTGGGTGTCCAGAGGCTGCAGGCAGCATCCAGACATAGCACATATATTCACAGATGCTACCTTTCTTAAGGCATCTGGATAAATATGCTGCTTGCACTCAAATGTGTTAAAATGGCACAAGCCCTTTGATTCCAGTAGTTCAGGTGAACAAGATGAAGACAAGATTGTATCCAATGCCAAAGATGAAGGGATGCTAGACAGATGGGGCATCTCAAGTTTCTGAACTGTTAATTTCACAGTCATGTCCCACCCAGTATCCACTGGCATTTCAGATGCAACT